CTCCCCTGAGACCTCCCCTTAAGTGTCCCTGTGAGACTTACAACCAGGGTAGCAGTGGGAAGGGGCAGCTAGTCCCACGCTAACCCCCTGAACCTGTCTCCAGGACTTCCTTTTCTCTGAGTTTCCAGTAAGCTGACAGCAGTCCCACTTTGGCTCACTTCTCTCGCTGTGACTTTTACTTCTCATTGAATTCATGCAGCCCAGCATTCTTTCCTATAACATTGTAGAGAGCCACAGTGGCCCTGCCTAGGCTCTCTCCTGTTGCTTCTTCTACTCTTAGCCCTTCCTTTGTTTCACTGTCCCCAGCTTTAAGAAATGTACTCTCAAAATCACCTGGACTCATGGTGTGAAACCTTTCCCACACAAAGTCAAGAACCCACACACTATAGGCCAGCTCAAGGCAGATCCACTCTGAGCCAGGTCCCCATCAGTTAACATAACCACTATTTTTTTACACCTGAAACTAATATAAAATAATATTGAATATCAATTGTAATTGAAGAAAATATTTGTTTTGTGTTTTATGAATTTCTTCTTTTTATGTCTACTATTTATTTTATTTGATGTATTTGAGTTTGATGTGCTAACCATTCTCTAGTGTTTTAGTTTGAACCTCTAATAATATATTTTCAATTTATCTCTTTTCCTAATGTACGGATCAAATGACATACGTTCCCCTCTACGAACTATTTAGCTGATATGTTATCTCTCTAATATAATTTAGTTCAGAATATTTTATTTTCCAGTTTTCTTGAGATAGATTGATAAATTAAAATTGCATATATGTATTAGGTATATAACATGATGTTTTGATATATGTATACATTGTGAAATGATTACCAAAATCAAAGTAATTAACATATCTATTAGTTCACACAGCTACAGTGTGTGTGTGTGTGTGTGTGTGTGTGTGTGTGTTGTGTGTGTGTGGTGAGAACACTTGCAATATTTTATTTTTTACTTTTCATTGAATTTATTGGGGTGACACTGTTTAACAAAATTATACGTGTTTCAGGTGCACAATTGTACAACATATCATCTGTACACTGTATTGTGTGTTCACCACACCAAATTAAATCTCCATCCATCACTATTTATCCCCTCAGTACCTTCTTTCACCCCTCCCCCACTCTCTGGTAATTACCATACTGTTGTCTGTGCCTATGAGTATTTTTTTCTTTGCTTAATCTCTTTACCTTTTTCACCCAGTCCCCTAACTCCCCTCCCCTCTGACAGTTCTGAGTCTGTTCTTTGTATCTATGAGTCTGTTTTTATTTTGTTTGTTAGTTTATTTTGTTCCTCAGGTTCCACATGTAAGTGAAATCATATGGTACTTGTCTTTCTCTGACTAGCTTATTTCACCTAGCATAATACTTTCCAGGTCCATCCATGCTGTTGCAAAGGGTAAAATTTCCTTCCTTCTAAGCATTTCATAGATGCCAGAGACCGTGCTTCATGTTCAATGTGCCTTACTTTATTTTTCATATTTTTAGTGGTAATAACTTATACCTCACTAAGCCTACATGCCTTTGAGTTTTATAGGTTCCAGTTTTATGTGATGTCCCATATGCGTCACCTATTTTATGTATTTTTTAAAAAATATATATTTTATTGATTTTTTACTGAGAGGAAGGGAGAGGGATAGAGAGTCAGAAACATCGATGAGAGAGAAACATCGATCAGCTGCCTCCTGCACACCTCCCACTGGGGTGTGCCCGCAACCAAGGTACATGCCCTTGACAGGAATCGAACCTGGGACCCCTCAGTCCGCAGGCTGACGCTCTATCCACTGAGCCAAACCAGTTAGGGCCTCACCTATTATAATTTTTAAACTTTTTGTAGGAAAGAGATATATGATTATATATCTGTCTTATCAAGGAAGAAATTTTGGTAGAGACCACATGATAAGTGAAAGTAGTAAAGGAAGAACCCAAATATGTTTAGCTCCAGTTTCCTCAGCTTTAACCATGTTATTGTAATGACCATATAATGCTTCTGATTCATCAATGTGCTTGGCCCATTATGGGTTCTTATGCAGTAGAGGTTCCCATTCTCCCCCAAATTTCACAGCAGGGAAAGGTTATTTTCCATCTAATTTCAAGCATGGGATGAAGAAGAAATGGGTATGAGGCAAGAAGACAGGAGGGTTGAGTTTCAAGCTGCAGCATTGAAATTATATTCCTCATCCGTAATGACACCGCTCACAGCTCCAAGATGTTTTCGAGGCGGTGATCCAGGTGATTAGTGAGGAGAAAGCACAGTGAGTTCTACCAGGAGCCTTTAAAACTCCACCTGGCTGTTCAAGGAGATCCTATTATCCTAACCTCAGTCACATTCTTCCCTGCATAGTAATAAGCTTTCCCCCAGGTGAAACATGGCTTATAATCACCCATAACCTTGCAGAGCTGCCTTGATCCAATGGGCAGGGCCCTGGGGAAAAGTACCTTTCTGCCCTTTATCCAAGAATCAGCAACCTGCTAGCTAAGTCCCTATATTGTAAGTAAATTTGAAGATACTACTCTAGCAACCCTCAAAATAGCCTGAGTGGGAGTAGGTATTTTCTTTATTCTCCCAGTTCAGAAACTTAGGCTTCAAGATGGGAAATCAATTGTCCTCAGTATAAGACTGAATACCTGGTGGGACCAGGAATAACCTGGTATATATTTGGCTCAAAGTTTATGACTTTTTCTACTGTTCTTCTCTGCTGAAGTGACCATCTCTGTATTTCCACCTTCCTGTGTGCATTCACGAGTTCTACCTACAATGATAGCCATGAGTATAAAAGGCAATGTATCCTACTGGTTTGATCTACCCACTGCTCCCATCTCTTCCACTAGATAATGACATAGATCACAGATGTGTTTTTTGAAGGAGGCATAAGCCAGCCTCCTGGAGAAGAGCTAGATCTAGAAAAAAAAAGGTGAAATTTCAGTAACATCCCCAAATTTTCTAGGCTCTCCAGATCCCATTTTATTTAATCAAGTATTGGTACAGACTCCAGTTGGAGGATGATAGGAGAAACAGAAATAGAAAAAGTTATTTCCATTGACTACAATTTCAAAGTCTAGTAGAGGAGAAGGTATACAAGCAGACATATAGAACATGATGTGACATGATGACAATTCTGGATAGGTCATGATAGTAGAGACCAAGAGGTGGTGGTAGTTCTGTTTTGGGAGAAGCATGTGATTTTCAATGTTCTCTGGAAGAGGATAAAGAGTTAAGGCAGGCAGGCTTAAGCAGAGAGAGAAGCATATGTACAGAAACTTATTATCCAGAAACAATCCAGTGAGTTCAAATTAAATACGAGTAAGTGTGTAGTATGGGGTGTAGGATGTTCTGTGGGAGAGTGAGAGGAGATGAAACTGGAAATGTAATCTAGGATATGAACATGAAGAACAATGAAATCTGTACTGAAATACTGGCTAGGATGCTTTCAACCTTAGGAAGGAGGCCTTCAATCATTCCTTAGGCCAGTGTTTGGCAATGATGCCAGAGGTGAGTTTGATGAATAGCTTGCATCAGAAAAGTGACTGGCTATCAATGTGGAGGATGGATGTGTATGTGTGTGAAAGGAAGGCAGAGTGATCAATGGGAAGGCTACGGCAATAATCCCCGGGCAAGTCGAAAGAGCTGAATCTTTACATAGCGGCGGAGATGAAGTGATGGCACATATTGGAGGTGGTAGATGCACATGGACTTATTAGTAACTGGATGTTACTAATTAGTAATCAAGTGAAGAAGGAAAAGGATTTTGTGATGGCACTCATGGACTTGTCTTTGGTAATGGAGATAACCCTTCCAGCATTGTTTCCTCCCAATGTTTTTAGTGTTTTCTCTGCATTATATCTTTGGTCCCTGATGAGGTCAAAAGTGAATTGATCCCACAAGGCATAAGCTAAGCTCATATTTTTAGAATCAGAAGGATACCAGTGTGACAAGGGTGAGGAGAAAGACATTTGGCCCAACTCTGTCTTCCCATAAGTAGGAAAAATGAGACCGACAAAAACATGGCTGCCATAGGTGTCCAGAAAGTGATGGCAGCTGTGTTTCCTCTTCTCCTCATCCAGGTATCAAGGAAGTGGGTCTGCGTCATAAATGGATAACTATTATGTGCCATGTTATCTTATTGGTACAGGAAGAGCTCCTAAGGGGAAAATCTTATGGCTTAAGGTGAGTGTCTATCTCAGTCTTCAGGTCACACTATGGAGATCTTGATCTTCCATCCTATCTAAGCTGGAGTCTATTGATTGAGGATTTCCAGGGAGAGGAGAAAACTGGACATCAAGGTATAGTGACAGAATGCACTCAGTAGTCAATTAAATCTATTTCAGTTCTAATGCTTCTGCCTCAAGTTTCTTCTTCTCTGAAGTGAGATCACTGTATGCACATTCTGAAGTTGTTATAGGAAAGCTAATAAGAAAATGACTAACTAAGCACTCTGTAGGAATGCTTTTGTCTCACTAACCACATCAAAAAATACATAGGAAATGCTTTCAATCTTTAGAAGGAGGCCTTCAGTCGTTCCATATTATAGGCCAGTGGTTTTCCAAGTGTGTTCCCTAGACAAGAGTCATCAGCATCGCCTGGAACTTGTGAGCAATGCTAATTCTCAGGCTCTACCACAGAATCAGAAATGGGTGGTGAGGGCCAGAAATCTGTATCTTAGCAATCCCCCCATGTGCTCCTGATGCACTTTACGGTGTGATAATCACAGCTACAGGCAGATTGTGGACCCATGGGCTGGGAATTGTCTTCATTGATGACATCGTTCCTGTGCATCTGTCCTTAATGTGTCTTTTGGACTAACCCTCACATGTGCCTGGCCTCTATCTTATTTATATCCCTACCCTGGAATTGCGGGTGCTTCAGAGGTGTGATTCCCTTCCAAACATGTGAGAGGAGAGAAGGTGAGAAGCAGTGAGAAGACTGACACCAACATAAGGCCCTTTGCTTTAATGAACCAAGGATCCTGTCTCAGGAGGCAGAGAGTGGAATGCTCAGGGGCTAGGAGTACTGGCTGCTGCTGTGGACGCCTTTGCCGCTGATGTCATTGCCACTGACGCCTTGGCCGCTGTTGCCTTTTCCGCCGTCATGCCCCCGGCCGTAGTTGTTTCCTCCTCTTCTGGGGCATTTGTAGTTATGGGGCCTATGGTTGTAGTCATGTCGTGGTCACGACAGAGATAAGGACTAAGCTGTTTGCCATTCAGAACACAGCACATTTTTTCCTTGTTGCACATCCCATTATGAGGTTTTATTTGTAGCTCTCCATTTCTGCACTTGCTCCTGCAATTTCCGTTTTTGTTTGCACACTTTTTCACCATCCAGTTACCTACATAAAGGAATTATACAGATCATCATGAAAAGCAAAAAATGACAATTATTTCTTGAACACTGATTTTTCAATTCCCTTACCAGTGGCTTTGTTAAAATTTTCCTAGTCATGAAGACCTGCTCTGAGGATTAAATGAGAATTTAAATGAGATTTTATAAATATATACACACATAGATTATTTTTTATATATGTATGACCCTTTCTGAAACCAGAATTCTGCATATAAATACATGGCAGGTGTCTATTTTCCATTTTAAATAAAAAAATATATAACATATGATTACTTGTGAACATAAAATCCTTAATCAATTTCAAAAAATTTGTAACTAAGACACACCTAAGTAGAAGTTTAAAAACTATAATTTTAAAAGGTAAAATTCTCAAATCATTATTGTATGGCTTCCCACTGTTACTCAAATACACATGGCTTTTGTTTGCCTGGTGAGATTTTTAAAATGTCTTTACATGTTTTTGAGGTCCTAAAAACTGTTTTTTAAATGTATCTCTAGATTTGTCTTATATATTATCTTGCTAAATATAAATATATATTCTACTATATATACATAGCTATAACTATGTATTATTGAGGTATTAATATACTCTACAAAATTTTGGAAATAAAAAACCAAAAGCCAGTCTACTAGTAATATATTCATTAGAGAGACATTCTGTAGAATATGGCTATTTATGTGTAATATTATATACATATATACTAAATGCTCTCATCACATGGTATATAACACAGAGAAGGCCCTGAAGAGATGCTGAAACTTTCTCACCTTGTTCTACATTGCTTAACTCATTCCTCTCCATTCAACCAACAAATGTATAGTGAGTGCCTCGTATGTCAAGAATGCTGCAGGATGATGGGAATAAACAATGAGTAGAAAGACAAGGTCTGAGAAGCTTACATTGGAGAAGCAGAGGAAGAAAAGAAACAAGTAAATGAATAAACAGAGTAACTACAGTTTGTGGTAAGTGCAACAAATTGAAAAGATAATGTGATGTAGCAGAGAGTAATCACTTTTGAGTTCTGACTATTACCACTACTATTATCCCTTATCAACTGCTTAATCCTCTCTGAAGTTTAAATGGGTTTTTCCATACATAATATTTGTATACATATATTTACACTCATAGATTTCTAGATGTATGTATGGGCCTCTCACTCCTAAAATCAGAATTCTGTGTGGGGGTCACTGAGGAAAGTACCCCTCAGGAACATGATGTTCAGCCCTAGACATCAAGGATGAAAGGCTCTGCCTATGTGACATCTAGACAAGTGTGTACAGAAGAAGGAAGAACATAGGCAAAGGCCGTGAGCAGAGGAAGAACCTCATCCTTCTGAGGAACAGAAAGATTTCTAGACTTCTTTGTTTTCATGATTTTTCTTTTCCTCTTTTTCTTCTTTTGTGTCTGCAAGGGCTCTCCATATGTTTCTTAGGCTTCAAATTTCTCTATACTCCCTCCACAGTCCCCTTCGTTCTCAGAGTCCCAAATTCATCCATAAAGATAACATTCAAATGCTTTTCTTCACTGAGCAATCTATGTGAATGGAAACCACAGATCAAGTTTCCCTCCTTTCTATCCTGATCTTCTGTGGGCGCTGGCATTTTATTGGTTTTTCTTTCCAAATGTTCTTTCTCAGTGTGGTCTCTCTAAAGCCTCAGGATGTTGGGTTAGGCTTAGATAATCTTACAGAATAATCCCGAATTGCTTATGTTTATCTAGAAAGGAAAACTAAGGAGTTTTCACAGGTCCTTCGGTTTAGAAAGGGGACACCGTGCAAGTGTGTGATGTATGTCATTAATGCCCTAGAGACAAAGTGAGAAATCATGCAGTCCAAATGCGTAGAATTTCAAGGATGCAGTAGATCTAATACATTTTGTGAGGCAACACTCATACTGTTATTAATTTCCTCTTGAACAGTTCTGCAAATTCTAGAGAACATTCAGTACTATCTCTAGAGAGCTATGAGATATTATACAATTTCCATTAAGAAATTGTACTCTAAAAAGATCAATTCTCACTGTGTGCCATATATAAAATATGAGAATGTGTCCAATGTAAAAAAAACCGCGCAATAATTAAACCTGTAAAAGAAGTTTCAGTAAGCAAAAGTTAATTAAAATTATTAAAGATTATTTATTCTAGAAAAATTGTTAAAAGTGTTCATTCTCTTAATTAAAAGTGAGATAAGGAGCGAAACACATTTTGAAAATATTGATGAATCACTTTCATTGAAGCTAGGAAAGTAAAATTATAAATAAATTATTTAAACTTAAAAAGAAAACAAAGAAATCTGTAAGCATGATGAATAAACTGTTAGCATGCAGAACTTTCTAAGTGAGTGGAAGACTGCAAACAAAATACCAGCATATTTGAAGATGAAATTTTTGTATCTCAAATAAATTAATACATTTGTTAGAAGTAACCCATATATTAGAAAATATTTGCAAGAAATGTGAAACAGAAAGTTTGAAAATAGTAACAAAATAGTATCACTTGACAGTATATGCTAGTTTTCTTTATCACCTTTTGACCAATCAATTGAACTTCTAAAATTTACCTATATAATCAGAAGATCTTACAATGATATATTAACAAGGTTGTACTATGTTATTTATAATAGTGACACACTGGTAAAAACAATCCAAATAACACACAGTAAGGGGCTCTTCAAGTTAATATTTGTACAAAAAATGTGACAAAATAATAAGCATCTACTGTTAATTGTATATTCAAGGAATACTCAAAGACGTGGGAAATTTCCCCATATACATTCTTAAGTTTAAAAATGCAGATTATAACTTGTTCATCAGTTGGTCACAATTTTTAAAATGTAAGCATTTTACATGAAATGGTGGCCAGTTTCTTTATTTCTCCAATGCTTTCAGTGTTCCCGTCTTAATTTTGTAAATATAAACTATGTTGATTAATTAAAAAGAAGGAATGCTTATAGAAGCAGAGCTGAAATCTGACACAGGATTTCCAAGCGGCTTAACTCCCCCCCACCTCTTCACTCAGAATATTTTTCTTTCCTTTTCCAACTTAAGGTCCTATTACTTAGATCCAAGAATTTAAAAATGGGAAATGTTCTCTGTAAGACCAAGAAACCTGGGAGAAGTAATATTTTAGGATTGTTGCCATATAAAGTGAAGTGAGGCAGGGCTGGACTGCACTGGCCCTATGTGATAGCACAGGGAGTTTGGGGTGTCATGATCATGTCAGTCCTTGGCTTCTCATTATTCTCCCTCAACTCCAGTTATGGACATGGTGAGAGCCTTGAGGGCTCTTAGTGGTGTTTTGAAGAAACACCCCCGCTCCTGTGAGAGCCCTGCCCCTACTCCCATTGCCAGTTTGAAAACAGGGACTTCATGTGCAGGACCCTGTTCTAAGTTGGTGTTTCTTCTTCCCCAATATTCTAGTTACCTGAGACCAACTGGGCGAGGAGCAAAAAAATTGCAAGAGCGAGTAATAGGTACTTCATGGCTCTTGAACGACAGTAGGCAGGCAGTGGGTTGTATGGAGTCCAGAACTGTCTATTCAGTGTGACCCTGAACACGGGTCTTTATTGTCCTGCCTAGGTGGGGTTGGGCTCAGCCAGTGAACCAGAAGGATATAGGACACTGTGCCAAACATGACTTCAGTCCATTGGCCAGCAGCTCTAATTGGGGCATCACTATTCAAGAGCCCTGTTCTAGGCATGCCTTGGGGGAAAGAGAAAGGTAAGAGAAGGTGTAAGACCTGCTGAAGTGTATGGCAATTTAGAGAGAAAGACACAAGCAGAATTTTTGTTGATTTCCCTAATGCTGGGTACGCCTACCTTTTTCCCACAGTCTCCTATGTTGGTGGTTCTACCAGAGTATTTATCTTACTGCATTGTGACAGTCTGTTCACCTGTTTGTCTCTCCCCCTAATATAAAATGTATTTTTTGAACACTGACTATATATACATTTTTTAATATTGGTTCTGGGCATGGAGGAGTACCTAAGCAATCTTTTGTTGAGTGAAAAATTTCATTTGCTAATAATCTGTCAACTTAGAAAATATTTTTTAATGAAATAAGTCAGTGCTCCAAGATATATGCGTGAAGATGTTTTTAAGGGAGTAGAGGGAAGGAACCAGAGTTACTGGTGTTAGCTGGGCCTGGAACCATGGATATGCGTGAACTTCTGAGCTACCAGATGGTAGTGGAGTATGTGGATCTTTCTTGCACCTCTTCCAAACTGGATATAAAACTAAATTGGGGAACATTCATCCTGAATTACCACCTGAAGATTAGCTGAAGAGGAAACTTTTGATAAGAAAGGGCAGAAACCACCTCAAGATTGCTCCTGCACGATAGCTTGAATGATATGGTCAGGGTTGAGCCTCCCAGCCAGCCAGTGTGTGGTGGGAATCCCACCCACAAACAGGACAACAACAATCAAGACCCAATTACAACAGGAGATCCCAAAGAACCCACACAGGGGACATTCCTAGAGCATCCAGCTCAGGAGATCAAAGAGACTGCACCACTGGGTCCCCCAGGACACTTATTACATAAGGCCACTCCACGAAGCCTGGGAGGCATAGCAATTCTAATAAATAGAAACAAACACAAGAGACAGCAAAAATAGGGAGACAAAGAAACAACCCTCAAATGAAGGAAAAGGAGGAAGTTCCAGAAAAAGAGAATGAAATGGAGGCAAGCAATTCTATCTGATAATAGAGAAACATGGTAATTAACCATAACTTCGCTACCCTTCCCATTGGCTAATAAGGGCGATATGCAAATTAACTGCCAACCAAGATGGCGGCCAGCAGCTACGCAGCTGAAGCAAACAAGAGGCTTGCTTGCTCCAGTGACGGAGAAAGCCAAGGTTCCCTGCCTGCCGCAGCCCAGCTCTGAGCTCCAGATGCAACAATGTTGCAATTATAGAAGCTAAACAAAGCCTAGATACCTGCTTTCAGCCGCCAGCGGGCTCAGAGCTTAGAGCGGCAGTGATGACAACAGAGTTTCAATAATGGAAGCTAAACAAACCCAGATACCTGCTTTCAGCCAGCCACAGCCTCAGAGCTGCACCCGGCTCTCAGCTCCAGTGACAGCTATAGAAGGTAAATAAATCCCAGAATAAAAAAAAGAAGAAGAAAAAAAGAGGCTGGGAGCTTCAGTCGCCTGCCAGCCTGAAAATGGCCCTCAGCCCCTCACCCAGACTAGCCAGGCACCCCAGTGGGGACCCCCACCCTGAAGGGGGTGTGACCAGCTGCAAACAGCCATCAGCCCCTCACCCAGGCTGGTGAGGCACCCAAGTGGGACCCCCACCCTGACCCGGATCACCCTTCAGGGCAAACCACCCATGCACCAGGCCTCTATCCTATATAGTAAAAGGGTAATATGCAAACTGATCCTAACAGCAAAAAGACTGGGAATGACTGGTCACTATGACACACACTGACCACCAGGGGGCAGACGCTCAATGCAGGAGCTCCCCTCTGGTGGTCATTCACTCTCACAGGGGGGAGTTCTGCTCAGCCACAAGCCAGGCTGATGGCTGCCAGTACAGTGGTGGTGGTGGGTGCCTCTCCTGCCTCCTTAGCAGTGCTAAGGTTATCTAACTACAGCTTAGGTCTGCTCCCTGCTGGCAAGTGGGCATCTCCTGAGGGCTGCCAGGCTGCCAGAGGGATGTCTGATTGCCAGCTTAGGCCCAATCCCCCGGGGAGCAGGCCTAAGCCAGCAAGTGGTCACCCCTGAGGGGTCCCAGACTGCGAGAGGGCACAGGCCGGGCTGAGGTACCCCTACCCCCGAGTGCACAAATTTTTGTGCACT